CATGAATCTGGTCATATTTCTTGCCATATGGCTTTGATACGCAAGTATCAACACACAAGCGTGAACAGTCTGCCCTGAAGAGAAACGCGACTTTCATTGTTTAGAGTTACCTCCCTTAGTACATTGCTCAAAGAGTTCCCCGATAGGGACTCACAGATCTGCACAGTGCCTCTTTAGAGTTTTAGTAATGTGACTGAGTGTGTGTGTGTAATTGTGTGTGTGGGGGATTGGGGGTTGGGGGTATTCAGCGCAGCATTTAACCCAACTCATGCTCACGTACTAATCTTCAATGATGTGAAAGTAGATCAATATTTCCAGAAATATACATTAAGCTTAGGCAATATAATTGATTATCTAAAACCAAAAGAGAATAAGACGCCGACAGGCTCTCTGCCATACTTGTTGGTGAAATCATATCAAACTTAAAAAACCATACGCTACTAAAATAATATATGTTCTATACATGCACAAGGTATCTTTTCTAAGGGAACTTTGAAAAGGAGAAATAAATAACTGTACACATCGAGTGTACATATAACAATTTGTTAGGGGCACCAGCGACGTTGTGTTGTTTCATATATTACCAGAAACATATAGAACACCTGCATTACTGTCCCCATTATCGAACTGACACACCCAAATGACATTCTATCCAAAACAGTGTTATAACATAACAGGTTCACCAGCAGCACGGAAAACATACAACCTACGAGCCATACTGTTTCAGAGTCAGCTCCGGTTCTTGCCACCAACAGACGTGTACCTGTGGAGGGTGTCAGTTTCAGCATCACCTGTACACTAGATGCAGCTATCAGTGGAACTACTCTCTTCTACAAGGGTCCTACTTCTAACCAGGAGGCTGCTCATCATCAGTCAGCTGTGGGACATCTGTATCAGGATACAATGTGAGTCTAGACAGGACATCCAGGATCGTGACTCTAGACATCGCATCAGCAGATTCCATCAGAGACAGCGGGACATGGAGATGTACTGATGGGGCTACAGGGTCAAATAACATAACATTGTCACAGTTTGCAGGTGGGTTTTAAGTGTGTGAAAATGGAAACCTATTAACTGTGGATGAGGTTGGAACGTGTGTTTAATTTGCTACGTCCGAGGGCATACAACACACATCAAAACACACATCAGGTTGTGTTGTATCGCATAGTAGTTTTAGAAAAGACTCTTTACTAAATTATTTTGCTTCTTTTCGGAACTGTTAAAATACACAGGATAAGCTTATTCATTGTTTATTCAAATCCCGGGCATCACACATTCCTCCATAGCTTTCCCTAATGTACAGTAAATTTGAACTGACAACATTTATGCCTGATTAATTGTTTCTGAATGTTTTAATCCACATACCAGAGAACTGTCATGTTTGTCTTTCCTCTCATCACCAGCTGACACACAGCAGGGTATAACGAACAGACAGTGACGTTATAGAGTCACGTATTTGTGCAAGACGATACGGTGTTAAACATACACACACTTCACGTAGTCATGGCTAATGGAACGAGAGAACTATATATCATACAAGGTTACATTGTTATGACGTAGTCTGGATTATTTATAGTTGATATGTTTGTGGTTTTATAATACCATTGTGAACGTACTGTAACGATGCTTCCAGCTGAAGGTGTGATGCTACCAGTTGTTTATGCTTGCATAAACAAGTAAACAAACCGTAAGCAGTCAGCGTGGTAAAGCATGCTCCTGTGTTAATACCAATCCTTCACTGACTGAACAGTGTTGCCCTGTACGATTTAGTTAAAGCACGAGGGCTAATAGTTCAGATCAAGATTTCACTTTATTACACTTGACATGATGGCAGAGCGTACTGTATTTCTCTTTGTGAGATGACAAATGTTACAACGACGATTAATCTAAGGTACAAAAGAAATCATGATCTAAATTAACATCCCAAAGTTAAATTTAAGCTTACCAAGTTTTGTAAACGTAGTAGTTTTGTTCTAACAAAATTCGGCTATATTTTCCTACAATTGCCAGCGGTTGAAGGGATGGTGTAAATCCAACTAGGGTCCATGCAGGTAGCAAAGGCACTGTAAGTCTCCATGGTCCCTAGTATGGTGATTTACCTTCAGTTGCTGGTGATTTAGAGCCCGTTTATATATTGTATTGTCTTGCATAATAGTATAATTTGTTAGTAACATGCTAGTTTTATATCTCTATCTGTGATACACGAAGGAGATAAATGTACTGTGTTTGGAAATTAGATGAATGTTAGACCGAATTGATAGTCTCTTAATTTCATTTAAAACCGAACGCGTAGCATGAGGATTTACAAATGATCAATTTAGAGACTATCAATTCGTTCTAACATTCATCTAATTTCCATTCTATATAACCGATTTAAAATCGAACTTCCTCGTCCTGCGGAAGACACTGAGTCATGGGACAAGAGGCGCATTGTACTCGTCTGTGAAGGGAGTGGTAGGTGCCGTTCGTATTTTTTTAACATTACAACATAAAATCATTATGTCCAAGGTAACCAAACTACTGCTTATTCATGGTTTTATAATCATCCACACTACCGAATCAAGCCTATTGTTTTGTGTGCCGTGTTACTGTCCCCAACTGGCCACACTATAGTGGAATGGTCTCACCTACTTACTTTCTTTGATGTAGACAGTTACGCAACAGTTTGAAATGGCGGACGAGCAAGTGTTTACATTTTGCGAAAGGTTGAAATTTGAAATGACAGTGGAAAATACTTGAATGACTGTCGAATCTGAACCCTACAGAATCGAAGAATAAACCCTTTCTAATCGACCTACGACCTGTAACTCACCAAAGACTGTTGGTTTTGTACTTTGTGTACATGCGACTAAATTGGGATTCCTTGAAACATTGTTCTCATCATTTGGGACTGGATTGTGGCCAAGCTTTTTCAAAGTGTACGAACATAGCAGTGACAGCCTTGCGGGGAAGGTGGCAGAGCGCGGAATTCTCGTGGTTCAATTTTTTGACATTTTGAACGATGCAAGGGGACATGATGGAGTAAAAAGCGACATAAATGTTGTGGTTTGCCTGACCGTTATCTTGCGAATTTTCCATTCTAAACGGAAACAAATATACCATTTACCAGGTAGGTAAAAGTTTACTAACGTTTTGCTGCACAAATAGGGATAGATAGGGATGTATTTTTACAAGGCTTTCGGAGTTTATATGTTAGATACTGTTTGTTTATGTTTCAGGCTGTGTATTGTAATTGAGTTTGAATATTTTAGAATAGACTGACTGACTGACTGAGTTTGGTTTTACGCCGCTTTTAGCAATATTCCAGCAACATCATGGCGGAGGACACCAGAAATGGGCTGCACACATTGTACCCATGTGGGGATTCGAACCCAGGTCTTCGGCATGACGAGCCAACGCTTTAACCACTAGGTTACCCCACCGTCCCTTTTAGAATTGAAAGTAATAATTATGAAAGTAAGGTTCCCTAATAATTGTGGAGGAGAAATGGTATAATTGTATTTTTTGAGTTTGAATAAATGTTTCATCAGCATTGCCATCATGTCTTTTGTGTTGATATTAGTAATGTTGGTGGCCAAGCTGAAGTAGTGCGGCAGTGTTGTCTACGTGCGCAGTGAAGCGCCGTGAAATCAGACGCATTGTCAGTCCAAAATCGATACCGTCTGATTTTATTGATTGACCAATCAAATTCGAGCATTTCACGTAGCCATGGTAGAATAGAAGTTTTACTGTTCATCGTAAACAGTTACATTACTTCTAATATTATTGATCTTTACTCATAATTAATTGTTCTCGTCACGATATGGCTGAAATATTGCCGATGTGACGCTAAATATTAACTCACTCACTCACTCACCCTTAACTAACAGTTCTCGTCCTGTTCATTGCTGTATCTGCACTCTACGTTAAGATACACGCTACAAATGAAACATGATAAAAAGTTTCAAGACTGTTCACTTTCAGGTTAAATAACTTCTCTTTATATCATTCTAAATATACTTGTGATTATAACCAAATGACATGCTTTACATAGGAAATATGATCAGCGCATCCAGGTCAGAATAGTCACGTCATTTTGCACAGATGCATTGTGGGACTGTGAGCGTTGACCTAATCAGAGAACATTTCCGTGTCGCAGTTTAGTTGACAGTCAGGCCACTGAAAACATGAAACGGGTTATTTGTACTTATCATTTGCAAAACTGTAATATTTAATCGTGAATCGGGACGTCGGTTACCAAGGGTACGTTTGATTCCGAAGGGTAGACTAGAGTGGCATATGGGAGTCCATTCTTTGTGGCGTAATTAAATAAGTGTACTTTATCGCCTGATCTATCGGCGCCATTGATCTTTTAGCGAAGTGTCTAAGAAAGACGTTTAAATATCTACACCAAAGTTACATTTATATCTTTCCTTCTTACAAGCTATACTGAACTGGAGCTCTGTGACCTTCTCTCCACAACGGACTTCTCTCCCGTCCTCCGTGACATCCCAGAACACCATCTCCGTCACTGTGACCACTCCATGTGCTGCCCCTGTCGCCGTCATCACATGGAGATACCAACAGGTAAGAAACGTCCTCCAAGTTCATCCTCACACCAGTGCATATACCCCCAAGAGAACATGTCCATCAGGTCAGGTCCACACAACCAACTCTCTGTCTCTACCAGGGAACACAGTCAGTCTATCTAACTACTGTTTTGTGTTTACAGGGTGTGAGTGGCGTCCCTCCCAGCAGTACATCTTCCACCCAGGGATCATGTCCATCAGGTCAGGTCCAGACAACCAACACTCTGTCTCTACCAGGGAACACAGTCAGACTATCTAACTACTGTTTTGTGTTTACAGGGTGTGAGTGGCGTCCCTCCCAGCAGTACATCTTCCACCCAGGGATCATGTCCATCAGGTCAGATTCAGACAACCAACACCCTGTCTCTACCAGGGAACACAGTCAGTCTCTACAACAGGCAGGTGTCTCTCACTGTCAGTGTGGAACATGACTCCTTTGATCCCCCGATGTATACCAAGTCTGTCACTTCAAACACCTACAGTGGTGGGTAGAACACCGGGTTTAGAATTATACCATCAATTACCTGGTTGGTGGTTAATACTGATGCGACCGTTTGAGGTGTTGATATTAATTTTACTAAATGATTATGGACATGTTCGCTTAATCTTTGTGTAATGCGGTCTAATGTATGTTAATGCATGTATGGACGATGATAGACAGATACAGGTATTTGTCTTGAAGTAGTGATAAGTAACGAAACAGTTCTAATCTATACAATATGCAAAACAAAATATTCACTCCGGACTCCGGCTTACGTTGAGCGATCTAATCTAGATGTAGAAACTTTTTTAAATGACGTTTCCTTGCCATATGATAATTCTTTCTGTACTAATAATTCAATTGTTGATTGCATGTACATTGTATATCAAGGGAAAGGCATTGAATAAGTTGATCCAGCAACACTTTTTCGTATATGTTTGAAATGGAGTCCACCTCATGACATATTCATCATTAGAACATACCATTGCAAATCAAACATGCTACCGATGTGACAGTACATTGCTGTTAATGTCAGGTGTTATTACAGTTCAACTTGCTATTCCAGTCCCAGTTACCCAGTGATACTGACAAACATCAGTTCTGATAATGAGAAGATAGGACTAGTGACAGGTCAATCCCTGACCTTGACCTGTGTGACGTCAGCCAGTTTTCCCACTTCTACTGTGAGCTGGGTGACCTTGCCATCAGGGACGGCACCTACAACCAGCACACAGAGACGACATTTGGTGTCCTGGTGAAGACAACAAGCCCGTCACATTCACTGTCAGTAGGAGTGACCTGGGGAGGAGCATTCGTTGTTAGGCTGAAAACATCAACGGTCAGACATCCCCACAGTCTAACAGAGCCACACTGGAGGTTTGGTGTAAGTAGACACAGTCTAACAGAGCCAGACTGAAGTTTTCGTGTAAGTAGACATAGTCTAACAGAGACATACAGGGGGTTGGTGTAAGTAGACAGAGACTAACAGAGCTACACTGGAGGTTTGGTGTAAGTAGACACAGTATAACAGAACCACACTGGAGGTTTGGTGTAAGTAGACACAGTGTAACAGAACCACACTGGAGGTTTGGTGTAATTAGACACAGTCTAACAGGGACACACTGAGGGGTTGATGTAAGTAGACGCAGTGTAACAGAGCCATACAGTTCTTTTGTGTAAGTAGACAAAGCCCAAGACAGAGCCACAGTGGAGGTTTGGTGTTAAGTAGACACAATCTAAGAGAGCCTACAGCAGTCTAACAGAGCCACAATGGAGGGGTTGGTGTAAGTAGACACAGTCTCACAGGGCCACATTTGAGGTTTGGTGTAAGCAAACACAGTATAAAAGGGCCACACTGGAGGTTTAATGTAAGTAGACACAGTCTAACAGAGCCACGCTGGAGGTTTGGTGTAAGTAGACACAGTCTAAAGAGCCACACTGGAGGTTTGGTGTAAGTAGACACAGTCTACCAGGACCACACTGGAGGCTTGGTGTAAGTAGACGCAGTCTAACAGAGCCACACTGGATGTTTTGGTGTAAGTAGACACAGTCTAAAAGGGCCACACTGGAGGTTTGGTGTAAGTAGACACAGTCTAACAGAGCCACACTGGAGGCTTGGTGTAAGTAGACACATTCAAACAGAGCCACAGTGGAGGTTTGGTGTAAGTAAACACAGTCTAACAGGGCCACACTGGAGGTTTGGTGTTGAGTAGACGCAGTCTAACAGAGCCACACTGGAGGTTTGGGTTAAGTAGACACAATCTGATAGAGCCACGCGTGAGGTGTGGTACAAGTAAACACAGTCTACCAGGACGACACTGGAAGTTTGGTGTCAGGAGACACAGCGTGACTCAAATGCTGCTGAGCTATACTGGAAGATTGTTGAATGAAGACAGTCTAACAGATCCCACCTAAATATGCTCCATGAGTAGAGACAGTCTCACAAAGCTCTGAGGAAATATGCCAACATTTAGGATTTGTTCCATGTTTGTACACGTTTTAAGAACAAAGACAAATTTAACGCAAGACATCAGCTTTAACTGACGTTTTTTTTAAGATATAGCATATGGGTATAGAGTACGTTTACTACGATGAATGATAACTAGAGAAAATAGTGAAGTAAATATCTACAAATAGAGATTAAAGCAAGGTGCATTCCACTGAACAGATTCTTAACCCTTAGACTAACAGTTATTCGTCATGAGCGAGCTAACTGTAAACTTTGTATACTGTGTATCAGACGGACCAGACACAGACCAGGTGAGAGTGACAAAACCAGCAAACACTGTGGTAGCGGAGGACCGTGACCTGACCTTAACATGTAAAACCTTGACCTCCGTGTCTCCTGGCGTGACCTTCACCTGGGACTACAGTGACGGGTCGGACATTACAGGAGGAAGTACAGGATCTGTGACAAAATCACCGAGTACCACGTGGTCACAGACTCGGGACATTCCGTCCTGTCAGGAGCAAGCCAGATGTCAGATGCAGTGTGAGAAACACCAGGACAGCAGTGGTCGTCAACAAGACTCTGTCACTCGGGGATGTCAAGTGTAAGTTGATTTCGCGTGTTTGAATGGACCTATGTACATATCCTTATCCTTACACCTCTGTGATGTACGTATAAACTTACATTATACTTTATGTTTGGATCCATCAGCCCCACATCAAGATCGCCCATACCGTCCATGATTTCCACCTATGCGGATTTATATATATAACATTAATCTTACATGATACTCATCTTTGATTGTACAGACTCCACCTCCAGACCGCCATGCAGTCCATGATTTCACCTCTGTGATGTATATATAAACTTACATTATACTCATCTTTGGATCCATCAGGACCGACCTCCAGACCGCCCTACAGTCCAGGATTTCACCTCTGTGATGTATATATATATATAAACTTACATTATACTCATCTTTTGATCCATCAGACTGACCTCCAAGCCGCCCTACAGTCCAGGATTTCACCTCTGTGATGTATATATATATAATAATCTTACATGATACTCATCTGTTGATTCTACAGACCCACCTCCAAGCCGCCCTACAGTCCACGATTTCACCTCTGTTATGTATATATAAACTACATGATACTCATCTGTTGATTCTACAGACCCACCTCCAAGTCGCCCTACAGTCCAGGATTTCACATCTGTGATGTATATATAAACTACATCATACTCATCTGTTGATCCTATAGACCCACCTCCAGGCCGCCCTACAGTCCAGGATTTCACCTCTGTGATGTATATATAAACTTACATGATATTCATCTGTTGATTCTACAGACCCACCTCCAGGCCGCCCTACAGTCCAGGATTTCACCTCTGTGATGTATATATAAACTTACATGATATCTCATCTGTTGATTCTACAGACCCACCTCCAGGCCGTCCTACAGTCCATGGTTTCACCTCTGTGATGTACGCTGGAGTCCAAAAGACCATCCGGTGCACAGTGACGGGGGCAATCCTCTGGCCGACATCACGTGGTCCTGTTACAACACCAGCAACACCGACAGTGAGTCCAGCAGCGGGGGAACCAAGACATCCTCACTCACCTTTCTGGTCACTAAACTCCAGAACTCCAGACGGTGTCAGTGTCAAGCAACGTGGATATATGGAGGATACGATGAGACTGTGACACAGACATTTACTGTGTATTGTGAGTATTGGGGCAGATGTACAGATACATAAGATAGATACGATGAGACTGTGACATAGACATTTGCTGTGTATTGTGAATATTTATGTATACAAATACTGGGATGGTTTTTTGATGATCTCTTCACAGTGGAGAAAAGAAGCCAAACTCAGTCAGTCCACGAGGATTCGTCTCTGGGGTTGAATGGTGTACCACACAATCGCCCTGCAAACTCAAGCCTTGGTACTTTGTGTAAATGAGGCTTTGTCGCCACCCTGTTCTTCGTCCCCATACCTCAGCAATGTATCACACTGTATATATGTATTACAGATCCACCCGACAAACCCACTACACAACCAACCCTGGTACTCTGTGTCTCACATCACTGACCTCGGCAATGTATCACACTATATATATGTATTACAGATCCACCCGACAAAACCCACCACAACCAACCCTGGTACTCTGTGACTACATCACTGACCTCGTCAATGTATCACACTATATATGTATTATTAGATCCACCTGACAAACCCAACACAACTAACCCTGGTACTCTGTGACTACATCACTGACCTCGTCAATGTATCACACTGTATATATGTATTACAGATCCAATCTGACAAACCCACCACAACCAACCCTGGTACTCTGTGTCTACATCACTGACATCGGCAATGTATCACACTGTATGTGTTACAGATCCACCCGACAAACCCACCACAACTAACCCTAGTACTCGGTGTTTACATCACTGACATCGGCAATGTATCACACTGTATATATGTGTTACAGATCCACCTTGACAAACCCACCACAACCAACCCTGGTACTCTGTGTCTACATCACTGACCTCGGCAATGTATCACACTGTATATATGTGTATTACAGATCCAATCTCGACAAACCCACCACAACCAACCCTGGTACTCTGTGACTACATCACTGACCTCGTCAATGTATCACACTGTATATATGTATTACAGATCCAATCTGACAAACCCACTCACAACCAACCCTGGTACTCTGTGTCTACATCACTGACCTTCGTCAATGTATCACACTGTATATATGTATTACAGATCCACCTGACAAACCCAACCACTACTAACCCTGGTACTCTGTGTCTACATCACTGACCTCGGCAATGTATCACACTGTATGTATGTATTACAGATCCACCCGACAAACCCACCACAACCAACCCTGGTACTCTGTGTCAAGGAAGGGCTACATCACTGACCTGCTCCTCGTCCCCTGACCACGGCAACCCTCCGGCCACCTTCTACTGGACAAAGAACAGCATAGCAGTCCACACAGGCAGCTCCTACACTTTCTCTCCAGTGAAGGCCGACAACGGAGCTGACATCAGATGTGCTGCTGGTAACACCTACACCGACAGAGCCGGGTCCTCACGTCCACAGTCAAATGCCAGGCAGCTCAGTGTATATTGTAAGAGTCGTAACTCATTTAGGCACAGGGATAAGTTTTTCTGGTCGTCACATATCAGTGTGCGAATGTTCCTCATGCAGCCCAGAAAACTAAGTGAAGCAGCATATTACGTGGTAAAGTAAAATTATTTTGTTTACATTTTTTTCTTTCATGTTAACCAAACTGAATGCAATACTACTTTAAACCCCACTCAGACCTGTGAATAACCCGAAACTCTTCTGGTAATCTGTCAGATGTGGGAGCACCATCAATTACTCCAGCTGCCACACAGACCAGGAAAGAAGGAGAGAGCCTGGTTCTCTCACATGTTCAGTTGATGGTAATCCTGACAATGCTGCCATTTCCTGACATTCAATGGTTCCCATACCATACCATGCCATAGGGAGGTCAACTGTCAAGGTCATTGTCAACTGTGAGTACAGATAGAGTCTGTGTGTATCACTTTAGCTAAAGCAGCAGAGACGTCTAACATGGAGGTCAAGGTCATTGTCAACTGTGAGCATGGATAGTGTCTGTGTGTATCACTTTAGCTAAAGCAACAACTCGGATATCTACAGGGAGGTCAACTGTCAAGGTCATTGTCAACTGTGAGTACAGATAGTGTCTGTGTGTATCACTTTAGCAAAGCAGCAGAGACGTCTAACATGGAGGTCAACTGTCAAGGTCATTGTCAACTGTGATCATGAATAGTGTCTGTGTGTATCATTTTAGCTATAACAACACGGATGTCTGCAAGGGAGGTAATTGTCAACTGTGAGTACTTAGTTAAAACAAGATAAATACCAAAAGCGTGTTTGTTATCAAGTTTCTGCAATGTTGATTAGCTGACGTGGAACCAACATTTATGGCCAGTTTTCTATAACTGCAAGACAACTGAGAACGGTGTTGTATTGAGAAGTTTACCTTGTGAAGCAAAGGTACAGACACAGAATATACAGATATAACACCATACAGGCACTCCTGACCCGTACAGGATTTGCTACATTCCATGCTATTCTGGCTATTTTACTGACTCACTTGTGTTTGTTTAGGTATTCTCATTTTAAAGGGATGGCTTCACTTGGAGGAATCAAGCAGATAGTGTTGAAATCCTGAAGTGTTTTAAATTCAGTATCAATTTCGTCCGAAATTCTTTGAATTTTGTTCAGATGGTGGCCAGAAAACAGAATGAAAGTCAATGAATGGCATGTGTTCAAACACAAACATTTAGGAGGACAACATTTTAGTTTCGTTCAGTATACAGTGTAGCAGTATACAGTGTAATATTTTGGGATATATTCTTCAGATCCTGGCAAGTATAAGTATGATGACTGCCAACGAATAACTCCCCTCAGCATATAGACTTAGTGCAGACTGTAGACAAAGGGAACTACACCTGTACCGCCCCACGTCAGCAGGGGCAGTAGTAGTAGTAGTAGTAGCTGCTTAGCAGTTTTAAAATATTCTGTTGCGTCATAAAATTGGCAACACACCCTTAACTGGAGTTGACACAACATGTACAACCGATATAGAGTTTTAAAAAATGAGTCCCAGTCACTTTTCAAGAACTTGCTGAAACCCACTTCTTACAACCGATTGCTTTTGAATAGAACTATTTTTACACTTTCTGTGTTTTTAACGATGTATGCAGCGTCTTTGAGCAACTCTGATGGAAACTAGGAAATCCAATAATTATTATCATTATCATTATTAAATGTATGTTCCTTATTTGTTTATTAAGGATGCGCTATCAACAGCTGGCATGACAGTTAACACATGGATATTTATCTTCCTTTTAGTCATTAAGAAATACTTTCTGTAAGGTTCTCCACGTGTTGATGGGACAGTTTTTCTCCCACTCAAGTACGCAACAAGACTAGGCGGTGACGTGATTGTGTCTGTGTCAGTCCTGGCCTACCCCCTTCCTTCATTCACCTGGAGTAGATCCATCAGCACCAGCCAGGACCTCACTGGTTCCTCCAGCCCTGTCTCAGACATCTCAGTCACTGCCAGACTACACCTTACTAACCTCCAGGAACAGGACTTCGGGGACTACAGTCTTACAGTGGACAATGGAGTTGGCGAGTCAGTGACATACACAGTCAACATAGTGCCTTCAGGTGAGTTGCCGAACTCCGATTTCTCATTGATCATTCAAGCTTTCAGGATTTTCAGATAACTAGATATAACTGCCGTTTGTATGGTTTTACGTTCACGTTAGTTCCACAACTACTAAACTGCAACATTCTAACATGAAACGAATCATTTTCTGATTTATTTGTTGTAAGGACCACCAAACACACCTACACAGTTTCGAGATCTGCTTAATGCAACTTCGTCGTCGGTATGGCTGTCGTGGCTGCCTGGGTTCAATGGTGGAAAACCTCAGACGTTTCTGATTGAGTATCGTCGGTTTGCTACAAGAACTTGGACTGTTTATAAATCTTATGATGACAGAGGCGAGACGATGGTTGTAGAAGTGACCGCTCTTACACCAGGAGAGATTTATTCATTTCGACTACAAGCTAGAAATGACTATGGGGATTCTGACAGATATGTCTTTGTAGAAACTACGACTGCAGGAGGTAGGAATCACTCTAAATATATCATGGGAAACTCGTTAGCTGCAAATGATGAAAACGTATGAATCCATTCTAAGAACAACTTCCAATTTCATAATTAGATAAAGTGAAATCCTTCAAGATGTTGGCAATCCTTCAAGTGTTAAGTGTAATGACTGAACAAATATAATTATCAAGTAAAATTGGTGTACGTATATGATTCATTTTTGTGGGTAAATATTATCACAGCATCACTTATGTCGTGGTAAATATGATTTTGAACAATTAACGAAGATTAGAACGAATAGTTCTGCAAATATTTGATGAAGTAATCACATGGTCTTTGCAATCAAAGTAAGCATGTATGTATGGGTTTAGTTGGCGAGTGTGGGCATGAGAGACGCCAGGAATGAGCTCCCTGGAGAACTTGGGAAGAATTGCCTTCATGAATCCATGTTTATTGTACACGAAGATTAGCTGGTTCTGGTGGTGAGGGTATCGTGTCACTGCTTGCCTGGTCGAATAGTTACAGACGGACGTCATGTCACCGGTACATTGACGTACGATTAGCAGGATACGTCGACTAACTGTTTCTGGTGGTCAGGGTATCTGCTTTGCCTGGTCGAATAGTTACAGACGGACGTCATGTCACCGATACAGTGACGTACGATTAGCAGGAAACGTCGACTAACTGTTTCTGGCGGTCAGACGCGCCGATTTGATTGGTGACTGTTATCATGTCCACATTAAGCATATGATGCTCATGCAGTCAGTCCTTGCCTGGTTGAACATTTACAGACCGAAGTCATGTCACTACAATATTGCACAGGGCTTAGTTGAACCACAAATGAATACAATTCACAGTCATATTTTATGCTGTTTTGATTACATTATAGATCCACCAGACCAGGAAAAGCTCGAAGCTTCATATATCAGTACAGGGGTATTAGCAGGAGCGACAGCAGGAACCTTTCTTCTTATCCTGCTCATTGAAGGGACTGTTCTAATTGTGCTGTACCGAAAGGGGTACAGAGTTGGAAACATTCTGAAAGGTACACAATTAATTTCGTGTTGATATATGATTGAACACAGTTTACATGCAGTAGGTCTTCTCCACGAGGTATCCATGACAAAGCCTACACTATGTGAATCATTGTTTGTCACGATTGTGCATGGTGGCTAAAAAGGGCATTTGTACTACCAATGTCTGGAATGTATCAATGGTTATATTTCTATCTGCAGTAATTCACAGTACACTGTGTCATTCTCTCTTCTGGGTATGTTTACGGTTGATGTGACATGTTTATGTCCGTGTTGCATGTGTTATTTGTGCTTTATCTGTTTTCCAGGAGCTTCACGAAAAAAGGTAATCTAAATGTCCAAGTTCAGTGAAGCAATGCATGGATCAGGTAAAAGTAAGGAATAAGGTCGCATTTACAACATGTAAATTTAAAATTACATTTTACATTCTGAAGTGTATCTCCTAATTCCTTAATTGTGTTGCTCAATTGTTGCAAACTAACCTGTTGATTTTGCAGCTCCAGTCATCCTGAACCTGTGGAAATGGACAACAGAGGATATTCTTCATTAGGTATGCACTGGATATTCGATGCTTCACTTTTGTTGAAATAACACTTACCTCTGGATCAGTGAGCACTTAACCATCACAATATGTTTCATCTCTAGGTATGTACAGATTATTGGATTTTCCACTTTTGTGATATCTCATTTATCTCTGGATCTGTTAGTACCAAACCATTACGATGTGTTTCAGATCAGATCGCGGCTCCAGCGCAGTATTCAAACATGGAGGAGGAATCAGAAAAACAACAGTACACCCAGTTGAAGATTTATGAAAATACAAAAGGTAGGCATGTCATTCAAAAAAGTCGAATCTCAAGTTCTCACATGCATTTACTTGGGAGAAGGAGGAAGTTGTAATTCAACGTTTTGTTATCTTCAGCAGATGATGCAGCTGACAGAAGTACCTATGAGGGCGTGACAGAGACTCCCCCTGTGACCTATGAGTCCATCAGTGTATGGACATACCAGAACACTGGAGCACATTCTCCAGGTAACCAAACCATGAAACCCTACTGGTGACTGATATCTTTTTCATCGTCAAGAAACAATTGTGTCCATACATCTTTGAACATCAGTAATCATCACCATATGCTTTCTCTTCTGTTCCGGTCAAATACGTTTGTATTGTGTGCTGCTTTCAGTTGGTATCATATTTGTATGTTTGATTACCTTTATTTGTGTTCTTTGCAGGTCTTGACCATGGAAATAACTAACGAAGCACACGAGTATACTACATCATAATCGGTTTCAGTTATGGATAAAATATTCGTTCAATCCAGTGCACTACTGCTTTGAAGCAAACGTCTGTGTTATTTTCTTTATTTTAAAGCAAGTTCAATCCAAATTAGTTATGGTCGTGTCATCCTTGTCAATTGTATATGATTGAATATTTTACATGCATTAGGTGATCACGTACAAAGACATACGTATATATATGGAGCCAGAAAACTAGAAAATTACTTTGTCAGTTATGACTGATACTGAGCGGACTCAGTCATGGTTCAGGGAAGGAACAGAACAGCTGGTAGAGCCGATATCCAGTCATACTGGGGTGACTGTGAAACAGAGATGATAGTCTGGTTATCTGCGTGATATGGTGCCGGGGTTGTGTGTAATGCCCGACAGAACACTTTCTCATGGTGCCCTGACAACTATACAAGAACTCGGCAATGCTCACAGTGAGGGGCAATCATCTTTATAGGACTCTTATTGGGAGCCTAAAACAACATGGGGCACCTAAGGTTTTTGGTGTATCAGATGGATCGCACACGCGCAACTGACAGTTTGTCTTTTTGGACAAGGAATTTGTTACTGTGACTTTCTATCGTTTCAGATTTGGTGAGAAACTTTCACTGTGACGGTTGATCGGAGTTTGCTATTTCTAAATATATGCATAATTTCATGCATGATTAAAGTGGGGAATCAGAGCAAACATTGATTAGTTATTAGTTAAGGATGTTGCATTGAGCAACTGTCACAACGCAAATTTGATTTCACGGACATCAGTTACACAAACAGCTTCCATCTTTACATTTGGACATCATCCCAGACACCCTCGCCATGATATTGCTGGAATATTGTTAAAAGCGGCGTAAAACCATATCCACTCACTTATCCCAGACGCCCTCTGACCGAGGGATCAGGTGATTGGCAAATGTGTCTTCAACAGGAAAAACAGTTGTTGTCATAAATATACTGGACAAAATAAGTTAGGGATATTGGTATTTTTCTGCTTGATATTTTATCAGTGTGTCAATGAATAAATAGATCATTATTCATAATTTCAAAATGTACATATATCCCTAACTATTTTTGTCCAGTATATCAATACCGTAATGATCTGGTGTTTGACTGTCAACGCAATGAGGTTTTATGTCTATGCAATAAATATGCCTATATATAATGTCTAAATAGGTGTTTAGTTACCACCTAAATGGGAACCAATGTCCGAGAACATGGCACGAATAACATTTCTAAACTATAGAAATACAATGGGGAATCTTCAGTCTCATCCTCGTCACACATCGGCTTCCATATGAATTTTCTCTGGGAGTTCTATACGAAGAAGGCAACCAGGATAACTCGACAAATAACAAGCTACAAGTCAACACAAGTCGGAAGTGAATTACAAATGACAACAACAACCCGATGTATATCACCCAGCAAACCCATACACAATTATCAGTTAAAAACCTATGTTTTCAGTAACCAGTGACGTTTCACATTCATACACCAGAGAAATGGAACAAACAATCTGAACCTCGTCACATCGGCTTTCATATCAGTTTACTGTGGGAGTACTGTAACAAGCTGACAACCAGGAAACTCCCCAAATAACAAACCGCGTAACCAACACAACTCGGAAGTGAATTACAAATGACAATAGCATCATGATGTATATCACCCAATAAAGCCATTCACAGTTATCAGTTATAAACCTATGTTTTCAGTAACCAGGTAAACACCTGCCAGGTGAAAATGGACGTGGTCAAGGTGGGTGTCACTTGTATCATGTCACCACATTCAGTAGTCAACTCAACTAGCACCCTTGTACCCGAGTGGAACGATTTCCTTTATACAACTAGGTGGTTACGCTAATCAAGACATTGGAGATATATTGACAACATATTTGCCAGTGAGGACAATTCATTGTCATCTAGTTCCCTCGCTCGATGTATACAGCGAGGTGGACCGTTCTAGAAGTAATAATGCAACTCTGCTATGTACATCAATAAATTGTATTACTCACAAGAATGTACAGTTAGTTCATAAGATACGCAGGAAGCGGCCTCCAGAGGGGAAGACGGCAGTAGTATTCTTTTTGTCATCAGATTATTTGGAGGCCATGTGAATAACCTTTGTCAATGTTAAAGGAGATTTATGGGCTACGACTGACGGTGTAATACCCCTGTACACTCAATCGCCAGACACAGACATAGAATGCATGGTAAATGGGCCACTGGTCCATATTGTGTAGACAGAAGCATGTAACTTGTCATTGCCGGACACATGAATTTAGACCCAAAGAAGCATCGAGTCGCACCTTTTTCTTGCTGATCCCCGTAAAAACACAAGAACATACATTGTGAATTTGCGAAGAAGTGTGTGCGAAACGTTCACGCTTGTATCTGTCATTTATCTTCGAAGAAAAGGACGTATTGATATTAGAGGGTTTAGCTGGGTATACATCAGTGGAGTTTTATATGCATCTGTGTATGTGAGCGACAGCAATGTTTGTGTATATGTCAACATAATATTAAAAGCTATGACACAAGGAGCATGGTGGCGTACTTAGACATGAAGGTTTATCAAGTTGACGTTACATGATAAAACTGAGCGGTGTTAACTGAGATTGTACGACTGACCACCGAGACTCACTCGTTGACTTATTCGCTGACTCGCTGACTCGTCCACCGATTGACTCACTCACTCTCTCTCAATCCCCTTACCCGGCACCTACTCACACTAAACCTTCTTTCATAAAGCGGACTTCCACTGAGCTATATTTAAATTGTACTGAACTACTTGGTAGCGAATGATATGCGTGTATATCTATATATTACTTCCTTGTTGAGCTACCTGGCTATACACAGCCAGTGTAGTGACGGTTTATACCTGACAGCAACAAGACCCATCAGGTACGTACATTATATTCTTCTATGGGCATCTCAAAGCATCTAATGTGTCTATGTTCACTCCTTCCACCATGCTGAACATGTCAACTGTGAATACTTATTCTACATGCCAGTGGATAGGAATAACCTCCTATATGTCGATATACCTGTATACGTTGACCCAGTTTCTACTAGTAGACATGTTCCCTGAGTAAGAATCATCTGTACGTGTTAGACTGACTAAAACACCTAACATTACACGCATTGCTACTTTCTGAACAGGCTCTGGTGTGGCTGGGATTGTTTCAAGGGGTATGCAGAGTTGTGTCCCTTAGTTCACAATACAAAGGCGTCAGCATCAGTTCACACCGGTGTGGAGTGAGTGAGTTATTTTTTTTTAAACTTCACATTAAACTTAAATAAATCTATACCATAAACAAATCATCAAACGAAACAAAACTCTAGAGTATCACAATATTTGGTTTAAAACCAGCATGTTACAATAAATTGCATCACTACAGAAAACAATGAAATAAAAAACAGGCTACAGCAAGTGAAGGTACCAAGGACCACGGAGACTTTCAGAACCCTTGCTGCCTGCATGAACCCCAGCTGGACTTACATCATTCCTTCAGTTGTTTGCGATTATGCATGGAGAACAAATAGTCTACTATTATAAATATGGTAGATATAAAATACTTTGAATGAAAGGTAGCTCTACGCAGGACATACAGTTGTGACATCAGCATGACACTGCTCCAGTAGCTTATGTTGATAGTGTGTATATGTCAACATCTCGCCTCAGTGGAAATATTGTACATAGCATAGGCGAGAGAATACCTGTACTTCCTCATACATGCCAAGACTCAGTGATCGTGGTTTCGAAGATAACATTCTATCGATTTTATTCCTTTAACACAATGCCCGTGGAATCGGAAATGTTTAAAAATAGGCTTCTGAGACAAATCCAGTTACCGTGCCGTGATGCGGACAATGTGAAGCAATGTTCTATCACCTACATACTATCGTGTTTTGAAAGAAAGATGACATACCTTCAACCTTTTTCAGTTAATACACAAGTGTTCATCTGAATCATGAAACAGCACTATATGTAAAAACTTCTATATTGTTATACAAGATTCAGCGTTTGATACAGTAACAACTGTGATCACACACACACACACACATTATCATTCTGGAAAAGTAAAAAAGACAGGTGTGTGATCCTTTACATACAAGTATATCTCATTGCCACTCTAAACAATATCCAATATGGTAAACGTTAAACCTACATTCCAGATCTCACCGCGGTGCCAGACGACAGGAGTGATGAAGACAGTTTGTGCTGCAGTATTATATCTGATGGCAGGTACCTATCACACAATTGTGTAACAGTCTTTAGTCAGTTTTCTTCTGAATACTCACATTGTTACCGTAAGCGCTTGAGATAAATACATGACAAACAGAGTGTTTCTCTACTGGGAGTGACGTACGGTCCTGCTTCAAGGAATACTCCCTAAAGAACTAAATATTTTGGTTCTACAGGTGTTGTATCAGGTGCACCCAGTGCCAGTCCAGTGTTGTCTGCAGTGTCTGACACAGCCAGGTTCAGCTGGGAGATTCCACAGGGAGGTCTGGGGACAGGGAGTAGTTTCTATGCTGTCAGTCCTGCTGGTATCACTGTGTTCCTAGTGACCGGTACTGGGACATTCTTGACCTTTGACACCTACAGAGACAGACTGGTGTACCAGGGGAACATAGCAGCCAGGAATGTCACCTTTACCCTCAGTAACATCCAGACATCCGATGCAGGAACATACACCTGTGGGAATGGAGGAGCTAGTACTGAGATACAGAACTGTGGACAGAAACTTGTTGTCCTGGGTGAGTGTGTTTGGTGGTCTGGTATAGCCCAGGTCACACATAAGTTGGAGTTAAGAAACTTTGGTCACGGAGAGGCCTTTAATGGGTGACCGAATATGGCAGCTTGACTAATGAGAGTTTCTAGGACTTCTGCCCTGCCTTACAATGATGCACATATGACACTTATGGTTCCTCCTTAGACAGGTGGCTTTGTTCTATAATACCTCCGCCGTTCACCCAACAGTACATAAGAACCTTGGTGGTCAAGTGACTGTAAACCGTATGCCTTACATGCATCCAAAGCTATCATAGGTAATAACGTCTGCTTTTTGCGCATGATGTGTCCTCGGCGCCAATGATATCAGGCGCTGTACAAATGTACTACACATATGGCTCATATGTATATTATATTCATACACATATACCATTGCCACTGAAAACAATATCCCAAAAAATTATAAATTTTAAACCTTTATTCCCGATCTCCTCAATGTGCTAGACGACATTAATTGCGCTTTGAGCATGCACTAGTGTGTGGATTATAGCGCATAACAAATGGCCATTATTAATAATAAAGATAATTTGCGGTGCACTGTTATACCTAACTGCACATACCTGTAACGCGAAAAGTATAACCACTTTTTTCTGTCTTTTTTTCCTCGGAACTTTTCTTGAGATAAATGTACTAGAAGTAACATACGGTCCAGCTTCACGAACGACAATTTGAACAACCAAATAATTTTGGTCCACATGTGTTTATTAGGTACACTCAGTGCCAGTCCAGTGTTGTCGGCAGTGTCTGACACAGCCAAGTTCAGCTGGGAGATTCCACAGGGAGGTCTGGGGACAGGGAGTAGTTTCTATGCTGTCAGTCCTGCTGGTGTCACTGTGTTCCTAGTGACAGGTTCTGGGACATTTGTCCCCACCACCAACTACATAGATAGACTGGTGTACGAGGGGAACATAACAACCAGGAATGTCACCTTCACCCTCAGCAACATCCAGACATCAGATGCAGGGACATACACGTGTGGGAATGGAGGAGGGGCCAGTAGTGTGATACAGAACTGTGGACAGAAACTTGTTGTCCTGGGTGAGTGGTTATTGAATTAGTTGTTGTTATTCCTGGCTTGTTTCACATCCATATTCATATGGTAAATATAGATATGTGATCTGTTCATCGTAACGTCCATCAAACTATATACGGAAACAAATATAGCTGTCAGTGCATTTGACTTAACTTTGAACTTTTCCCAATTACGATGAAGGATAAGGCCAGGATATGCATTGTCGGTATCCAGTGAAGAATGTGATCATGAATCAAAGAAAATATATGAATATCAACATAGCTTGAAGGAATTTAATGAGTGTGTTTGCATCATATCTCAGGTACAGGTTATAATCTAATCACGACGGAATAGTAAACAGGATGGTCTTTCTCAAAATATGTCTATTATCTCAATCATTGAAATCAACCATCTTGTGTCTCGTCAGCAGTGTTATCTACCGACCTGTTGGGACTAGGTCACATGCCACACTTCTAAAGGTGAAGTGTATTGAAAACGTTTTTAAGCAATAACATGCAACCGACAAATAATCAAGTAATACCTTGTGTTATGTTAAGAAAGGAATTACGAGTGAATAATGAACGAGTGACGTCCCTTACGTTTACGCGTTTACATGAGAAATTCTAATAAGTTCATGTTACAATCGTGTATGTTGTTGCCAGAAACTGCAGAGACACCCCTGCAGAACTGTATATAAAACTAAAATTTACATCAGTACTAATGCCGAATATTTGATGTGCAAACAATGGAAGTATTTGTGTTTATAGAACTTTACAGACCGTTATTGCAATTTGTCATTATGAAAAAGGTAGTATACTCGTTACATATCCACAGAACAATATGTCTCGTGAAGGCCACTTGCTGGAAAATTGTGAGAAACCTATCTGTATTATCACCTTTCTGATGTTAGTGGAATATTGCTAAAATGTTATTGAATCACAATCAAGCATTCACCCAACTACCTTTTCATTTTTGATGTCTTTATTTCTCAATTGCATATAAAAAGCTACATGTTCACGCCCCTAATTTACACATGCACTATTTTGATAGGAAAACCCACGACACCTGGCCGTCCACCTGTGTCAACAACACCTGTCTACAACCAGTCAGTGACCTTGACCTGCAGCTCCACCGCTACCACAGTCCCAGCTGACCATCGTCTGACCTTGACCTACACCTGGCAGCGTGACAACACTGACATCACAGTTACCTCCCCTGGTTCCCCCTACACCTTCACAGTGAGTTCAAGGGACAGTCACAGCTACAGATGTAGAGCCAGAGAAAGTCAGGGTCTGGAGTCCGAGTGGAGCCAGGAGTACAACATGGAACCTCAGTGTGAGTACAGCATGGACATTACGCTGAATATAATCTGTGTGGAGTTTTACTACATTCGTGACAGCCACTGCTGTTGCCAAATCATAAATGACGACAGTCTGACAGTTGAGTGCAAGAGAGTCGCAGAGCTACTATAACTGGACTGATTGGCTGATGCTCCAATCATCTCCCTGTATACACTGAACCCAGTGTGATTTAATGTGGTGTAGACTGTTTCGTTAATATTACTGATATAGTGTTTTATTCCAACTGAATTGTCTTTTCTCTTGAAAGTGTACCGCAGAAAAGCCACCGAACCTGATTTTCACAAATTAGTTCATATTCAAATTATACCAAATATTTTCGCGGAGACACGTGGATCAAAATATATATTAAAAAGGAGCTTGGTGATTGTCAGCACATTTCGAAAACAGAATAAGCCATGGCCTACATCATTGATATATAAAATTAGAATTTGCGAGGCTCAAATAAAAATAGATGAACAAGGTGAATGCAGAGGTATTGTTTCATTTCGTCACACACTCCACAGACGTGAACAGGAGAAAACGTTCTAACAAAGAAGGAATTGTACAGGAAGAATGAAGATCACATACTCATGGAAACGATCAAGGGAACAAATGAAAGTACAAGTGTTCCTTTATTTATTTCGCGAATTTCACACAGGATGCAATACACACCTTGTGAAGAAACTTCAGGATCATGTATATTTTCAAGTGTTCCCAAATTCGTTTCTACGAGTATATATGGATTCACTTACTACGGTACAGCCGACTTTGAGGGAGTCAGCACTCAACCACCTAAAGAAACTGTTAATCACATACTTTTGAATGTGCTCTATCCAGTCATTTCTATATACCATCAATAGGCTGAAATTGTTGGCTAATATGTATCTCTTCAGACGGTCCCTACCAGATCTCCCTGACCCCCTCCACCTCCTCCTACACTGTGACAGAACACCAGGCTCTTCCATCAATCACGTGCTCCGCCCTCTGTAGACCCGGATGTAGCTACAGGTGGTTACACAATGGATCAGTCTTCAGCAGTGGAGCCGTGCTCCAGGGACAAGCTGACAGATCCAAGACAGGCTTCTACAGATGTCAGCCTTATAATACACACGGGAGTAGTGACAGTGTTACAGTCAGTGTTGATGTTCAGTGTAAGTATATAGTCTACATTGGTGACAGTGCTACAGTCAGTGTTGATGTTCAGTGTAAGTATATAGTCTACACTGGTGACAGTGCTACAGTCAGTGTTGATGTTCAGTGTAAGTATATAGTCTACACTGGTGACTGTATTACAGTCAGTGTTTATCTTCAGTGTAAATATATAGTCTACACTGGTGACAGTGTTACAGTCAATGTTGATGTTCATTGTAATTATACAGTCTGCACATAGTGTCAATTTTACAGTCAGCGTTGATGTTCAGTGTACGTATATAGTCTACATTGGTGACAGTGTTACAGTCACTGTTGATTTTCAGTGTAGGTATATAGTCTACACTTGTGACAGTGTTACAGTCATTGTTGATTTTCAGTGTAGGTATATAGTCTACACTGGTGACATTGTTACAGTCAGTGCTGATGTTCAGTTTAAGTATATAGTCTACACTGGTGACAGTGTTACAGACAGTGTTGATGTTCAGTGTAAGTATATAGTCTACACTGGTGACAGTGTTCCAGTCAGTGTTGATGTTCAAAGTAAGTATATAGTGTACACTGGTGACAGTGTTACAGTCAGTGTCGATGTTCAGTGTAAGTATATAGTCTACACTGTTGACAGTGTTACAGTCAGTGTTGATGTTCAGTGTAAGTATATAGTCTACACTGGTGACAGTGTTACAGTCAGCGTTGATGTTCAGTGTAAGTATATAGTCTACACTGGTGACAGTGTTACAGTCACTGTTGATTTTCAGTGTAAGTATATAGTCTACACTGGTGACAATATTACAGTCAGTGTTGATGTTCAGTGTAAGTATATAGTCTACACTGGTGACAGTATTACAGTCAGTGTTGATGTTCAGTGTAAGTATATAGTCTACACTGGTGACAATATTACAGGCAGTGTTGATGTTCAGTGTAAGTTTATAGTCTACACTGGTGACAGTATTTCAGTCAGTGTTGATGTTCAGTGTAAGTATATAGTCTACACTGGTGACAGTGTTACAGTCAGTGTTGATGTTCAGTGTAAGTATATAGTCTACACTGGTGACAGTATTACAGGCAGTGTTGATGCTCAGTGTAGGTATATACTCTACACTGGTGACAATATTACAGTCAGCGTTGATGTTCAGTGCACGTATATAGTCTACATTGGTGACAGTGTTACAGTCAGTGTTGATTTTCAGTGTAAGTATACAGTCTACACTGGTGACAGTGTTACAGTCACTGTTGATTTTCAGTGTAAGTATATAGTCTACACTGGTGACAGTATTACAGGCAGTGTTGATGCTCAGTGTAGGTATATAGTCTACACTGGTGACAATATTACAGTCAGTGTTGATGTTCAGTGTAAGTTTATAGTCTACACTGGTGACAGTATTACAGTCAGTGTTGATGTTCAGTGTAAGTATATAGTCTACACTGGTGACAATGTTACAGTCAGTGTTGATGTTCAGTGTAAGTATATAGTCTACACTGGTGACAATATTACAGTCAGTGTTGATGTTCAGTGTAAGTATATAGTCTACACTGGTTACAGTATTACAGGCAGTGTTGATTCTCAGTGTAGGTATATACTCTACACTGGTGACAATATTACTGTCAGTGTTGATGTTCAGTGTACGTATATAGTCTACATTGGTGACAGTGTTACAGTCAGTGTTGATTTTCAGTGTAACTATATAGTCTACACTGGTGACAGTATTACAGGCAGTGTTGATGCTCAGTGTAGGTATATAGTGTACACTGGTGACAATGTTACAGTCAGTGTTGATGTTCAGTGAAAGTATATAGTCTACACTGGTGACAGTATTACAGGCAGTGTTGATGCTCAGTGTACGTATATAGTCTACACTGGTGACAATGTTACAGTCAGTGTTGATGTTCAGTGTAAGTATATAGTCTACACTGGTGACAATATTACAGTCAGTGTTGATGTTCAGTGTAAGTATATAGTCTACACTGGTTACAGTATTACAGGCAGTGTTGATTCTCAGTGTAGGTATATACTCTTCACTGGTGACAATATTACTGTCAGTGTTGATGTTCAGTGTACGTATATAGTCTACATTGGTGACAGTGTTACAGTCACTGTTGATTTTCAGTGTAAGTATATAGTCTACACTGGTGACAGTGTTACAGTCACTGTTGATTTTCAGTGTAAGTATATAGTCTACACTGGTGACAGTATTACAGGCAGTGTTGATGCTCAGTGTAGGTTTATACTCTGCACTGGTGACAATATTACAGTCAGTGTTGATGTTCAGTGTAAGTATATAGTCTACACTGGTGACAGTATTACAGGCAGTGTTGATGTTCAGTGTAAGTTTATAGTCTACACTGGTGACAATATTACAGGCAGTGTTGATGTTCAGTGTAAGTTTATAGTCTACACTGGTGACAGTATTACAGTCAGTGTTGATGTTCAGTGTAAGTATATAGTCTACACTGGTGACAATATTACAGTCAGTGTTGATATTCAGTGTAGGTATATATTATACACTGGTGACAGTGTTACAGTCTGTGTCGATGTTCAGTGTAAGTATATAGTCTACACTGGTTACAGTGTTACAGTCAGCGTTGATGTTCAGTGTAAGTATATAGTCTAAGTTACAATGAGTGCTGATGTTCAGTGATGGTGTATAATGTGTACACTGACGACATAATTGTGTTATCGTATGACATATAACTACAGAACTGCAAGCCTCTTTCAACTAATGTTGATTTCATTGTACAGCCAATACTATGCCAATGAAGCAGTGGTTCACATTTTCAGACCCTGCCGACATAAGCATGTTTACCGCCAACTCTCACAGTGGCTCAGTAACAGTTAACGAGTCTGATACAGTGACCTTTAGATGCCAGATTGACAGTAACCCAAGGTCAGTCATCAGGTTACTGAATGGAACTGGAGAATTGACAAGGGCAGATAACTCCCTGACAGCAGCATACAGACTGGAGTCAGCAGACTGTAGACAAAGAGGGAACTACACCTGTACGGCCTCCAACAACGTCGGGGCACCTGTCACCCAGACGGTGGTGTTGCTGGTTAAAAGTAATGTCTTGATATAATGTACGCATCAATGTCTTGTAATGGTTGTCATTATTCGTTTTTGACATGACTTTTTTAAGGGTATTGAGCAAAGGAAATGCTTCAGGTATCAGTCTTTATTTGAGTTTGAATATGGCCTGTTGATCCTGTGAACGTAGAAGTATCGTCACCTGTCTAGCAAATGACTAATACGACCTTATATAACAACATCCGAAGAACGATTTCATTGTCACTGCTTTTGTATACTGTTGTCTGCATGTAACCAGGTTCTCCACGACTTGATGACTCGGTGTCCCAGCAACTCAAGTTTGCTGCTACTCTGGGTGGTGACGTGACTGTGTCTGTGTCAGTCCTGGCCAACCCCTTTCCTACATTCACCTGGAGTAGATCCATCAGCACCAGCCAGGACCTCACTGGTTCCTCCAGCCCTGTCTCAGACATCTCAGCCACTGCAAGACTACACCTTACTAACCTCCAGCGGCAGGACTTTGGGGACTACAGTCTTTCAGTGGACAATGGTGTTGGCGGTTCAGTGACATACACTATAAGCGTAGTGGCTGAAGGTTAGTTGCCGATATGTGATCGATCATTCAAGCTTTCAATATTTTGGATAACTGTCTTTAACTGTCGTTTGTTCACTTTAAGTTCACTATAAGTTTACTTTAGTTCCACAAATACTAAGTAGTGCAAGATTCTAAGATAAAATGATGACAAATAGTTCCGATTAATTTGTTGCAAGGACCACCAGAGACACCTTCACAGTTTAGAGATCTGGATAATGCAACAACGTCGTCGGTATGGCTGTCGTGGCTGCCTGGGTTCAATGGTGGACGCCCTCAGACGTTTCTCATTGAGTATCGTCAGTTTGCTACACGAACGTGGACTGTTTATAAGTCTTATGATGACACTGACGAGATGATGGTTGTGGAAGTAACTGGGCTTACACCAGGAGAGGTTTACCCATTCCGACTTCAAGCGAGAAATGACTATGGAGACTCTAACAGATATGTCTTCGTAGAAACTACGACTGCAGGGGGGTAGGTGTCACTTGATGAGAATCACTCAATGGCCACTCTTATTATCGTATGGAACATTCGTCAGCTGCAACAATGAAAACGTATGGATCCCTTAAAGGAACGATGTGCTCTTTGATCAGATATTCAAATGAAAGAACTCCTTCCTGGTGTGAGCAATGAACCTATGGGTTTCCAAAAAGAAACGCAAACGACCAGATAACTGAACAAATATAATTATAATAATTGGGGAATATGTGAAACATTTTTGTGTGTAAATATTAACACAGCGTCATTGATACTGTTTGGAAATGTGAGTATGCATAATTAACGAAGATTCGAAAAAATAGTTTGCAAATATCAGTTAAACGTGTTATTTGCTTTCAAAGTAAACATGTATGTCTTGTTGTGGTTGTATGAACACCAGGCAGGAGGCCCTCGTGAACTAGGGAACAAATGGTCTTCATGAACCCATGCTTGTTTGTAAACGACGACTAAATGGTTTTGGTGGACAGACTCACTGACTTGGTTGATGTAGGCTATCTTGTCACTGCATGGCGTGGTCGAATGTTTACAGCCAGCCGTCATGTCCCTGGTGTAAAGCAGACATCAAACATCTAACTTATAACGGAGCTTTATACCTGGTACTCATCTTTAGAAGTTAACCTGTGCCAATTGTATTTTAGCCCATGATCTGCAAGGACAGCAAACTCAAATGATTAGTTTGTGATCTTGCAAAATATAGTTTTTTACTTGAATGCAACAACGTATGATAAGTAGTCAACTGCAACTGTTATGATAGTTTTCATTACATTGTAGATCCACAAGCCCAGCAAAAGGTCGAAGCTGCATGTACCTATACAGGAGTAATAGCAGGTGCGACAGTAGGAACCTTTCTTCTTACCCTGCTCATTGGAGGAACTGTTCTAATGGTGCTGTATCGTAAGGGCTACCGGATCGGAAATACTTTAAAAGGTATATATTTAATGTCGTGTTGTTGAATTGTTATATGACTGAACAGTATTTACATGCAGTAGGTCTTCTTCAAAACGTATGCTCCATGATTTTGCCTACATACGTCAGTCGTCGCGTGTCAAGATTGTGAATGATTGCGAAGGGAGTAATCTGTACTGCTAATGTTTGTAATACTATGGTTATGTTATATGTCCCAAGTAATTTACAGTTAACGTTATTATCTTCACTGTCATGTCTTTTTACGTTTGATTTTTTGTTTCTCGCTGTATGCCGTTTTCTTATTCTTGTTTTTCAGATGCTCAAAAAAGGTAACCTAAACTTCTAAGTTCAGTCAGTAACTTGCAATAAGTTAACTACATTTACGTTTTACATACTTGAGGATTTATATTATTAGCCAATTATTAGAAACTGACCTGATGCTGTCTTGTATCTCCAGTCACCCTGAACCTGTGGAAATGGACAACAGAGGATATTCATCATTAGGTATGTACTGATTATTGGATATTTGCTTTTGTTTGATATCTCAATATCTATGGATCTAGTAGCACTAAATCTCTACACAATGTGTTTCAGATCAGATCACTGCTCCAGCGCAGTATTCAAATTTGGAAGAGGAATCAGAAAAACAACAGTACACACAGTTGAAGATGTGCGAGAATACAAAAGGTAGATGCATGTCATTTAATAAAGTCTAATCTCAAGTTCTCACGTGGCTGTACTGTCTGTTTATTGGGGCACTTGTGAGGTTAGTTTTAATTCTAATTTGTTTTGAAATATGTGTTCAATTATTTCTTCAGAGAATGCTGCGGCAGATACAAGTACCTATGAAGGCGTGACAGAGACTCCCCCTGTGACCTATGAGTCCATCAGGGCATCCCCATACCAGAACACTGGGGCACATCCTCAAGGTAAACAAACCATGAAGCACTCCTAGTGATTGAAACCTTCGTCATGAAAACACAGTGCCATTTGGAAAATGATCAATTATTACATACATTCATGTTATGTTTGGGATTATACTTGCTCCTCAAGTACAGATTCTAGATTTGTTTGCTTGGTATAGAAACAGGATTGGAACCCTCAATCTCAGAGTCAGGTACCTAATCGCCAAGTCAGCAATCTAACCCAATCAGCCACCACAGTGGAAATCTGACAACTAGTAGTCTAGATCACCGTACTTTGCCGACCCTCAGACAAATATAAATTTGTAGACCTCTGCCTTCGTCTTCGCCATGGATCAACTGTGTATTTGAACCCTTTAACATGAATACACAGTGCCATTTAGAAAATGATCAATTATTACATACATGTATGTTATATTTGGGATTACACTTTCTCCTCAAGTACAGATTCTAGATTTGTTTGCTTGGTATAGACACATCCAGGATTGGCACCCTCATTCTCAGAGTCAGGTACCTAATCGCCAAGTCAACAATCTTACCGATTCAGTCACAGCGGCTTCCGCTAAAACAGGCACCCATGAAGGGCCACCTCCTCGTGGTGGTTGCTGGGTAACGCTAAGCGCCCTTGAACCCCCGTTGTGGACCCGGGGGGATATTAGGTCCACCAACCTGTTTGCCGTGGGTTGCGCCCCTGTGTCGGTGGAGGACGGGATTCTGGTGGTTGAGGGCAAGGGCTCCAGGAACAGTGTTCCTTTGCCCAACACACCACTTCGGCCCTTACTTCACCTAGACGGGTGGTTGAACTGGCCCGGTTCAATCAATCGGCTGGTCACGCCGAGCCCTGTGGTATGCATTTTTGCTATGTCTTGACTCGGTATACTTGTTTTGAATACTATCTGTGTTCATAAAGTTATTTAATATTCTTGCCTAGAGCTCATGCCCAGAAGGCGGTGGCTCATGGGCCAATCTGGTTTATCCTCTGGATTAACTGGAGTATATCATTTCTGTAACCCTTTGGTGTCAGTTTGCTGGAACACCGCATACGTATGACATCGCTCTTGTTGGCGCTCCATGGTGGGCAGGGACCAGATTTGATGAACCAATATACAATTCACTATGGGTAAACAAAATAAAAAAAAAAAAAAGGGCAACTTTCCGAATCTGATTCTGAGCTTGACTCTGATGAAGATGATGTGGTTACTAAACTGCTATATTCTGAAAGGGATACTTGGCCACGCTTTCTTGTTCTGGAAGCAAAGGGTGACCGAACACTTGCTTCCTATTCACCATTTGTGTTAGAAAAGGGATTACAAGGTAAAGCAGGTGAGTTGAAAAACGTTACCAAATTACGGTCTGGAGATCTTTTAGTTGAATGTGTCAGGAAATCGCAGGCAATTAACCTCATGACGTCAACCAAATTAGCTGATATTCCAATTACATGTTCAGCACACAAGACCCTTAACTTTTCCAAAGGTCTCATCCGTGACAGAGACCGAAGTCTCGCAGATGAATTTGTTGAAGACATTGTATCTCAGCTTAGAAGTCAAGGTGTCCTTGAGGCCAAACGATTTACATATCGTAAAGATGATCGTGTATTCCCGTCCAACACATATCTTTTGACTTTTGACACCCCGGTTCTGCCAACTTCTATTAAGGTTGGATGTTTTTCCATGAGGGTGGATCTCTTTATCCCACGCCCTACTCGTTGTTTTAATTGTCAAAAGTTTGGTCATGGGCAAAATTCGTGTAGGAATAAATTAGCTTGTTTCAGATGTGGAGAACCTGATCATGATGGCAAAATATGTACAAACACCATCAAGTGCTTACATTGCAAAGGTGAACATATGGCATCTTCAACAGACTGTCCTGTGTGGAAATATGAAGCCACTGTACAGAAATTAAAAACTGAGAAACGACTCAGTTATGTCGATGCGAGGAAAGAAGCCAGACTACTTGCACCTGATCCAACACGTCCATCATATGCTTCAGCAGCCAAAAAGGTAACAACTGCATCTATTCTCTGTCAGACGGACCTTACTTGGGTGAAATCTGAACATCCAAAATCCCTCTCAGAGATTGAACTAAATACAGTAAGTTCCAAACCGGCCACAGATCCAGATAAGTCACCAATAAAGCAAAGAGGAACATCTTCAACACAAACAGAGTCAAATCAAAACAAATCGTCAAAATCTACTAAAGTGGACATAAAGAAAAAACAGATTCAATCTGACAGATTGCCAAAGGCATTAAAAGACACGGTGCAATTCCATAATAAATATGGTTGGCGAATATGGATACTGAAGTATCACATATTATGTGACGCTGGTGGCCATACGCGTGGTCACTCACCGAAAAAGAAAGGTAGAGCAGTATCTCCTGTTATTGCTCATAGATAATTACACCGCCATGAGCCATTCCCCTAATCTAGTACAATGGAAATGCAGAGGACTTGAAAATAACTTTAATGAACTACGGTTGTTAGTTCAAGACTTTTAAACCGTCGGCAATATGTCTCCAGAGACGTATCTTAAACATACTGATACATTTGATTTACGGCAGTATAGCTGTTATCATTCATTTTCTCCTCCAGGAGATAGAGCGACCGGAGGTTCGACTATATTGGTTAGACATAACATCATTCATAGTGATGTTCACCTGAATACCAATCTCAAGCCATAGCTATTCGCCTCAGCCTGCACATTGCGTTTACTCTATGCTCTTTGTACATTCCACCCTCATCTGCCCTTCGACAAACTGATCTTCAGAATCTCTATGATCAGCTACCAAAGCCCTGTATCATCATGGGCGATTTGAACGGGCACAACCCTCTATGGGGTAGTACAAGTACAAACAATAAAGGCAAGATTATTGAGGATTTTTATATCTGATAACAACTTGTGTGTGTTTTAATGACGACTCAAACACCTATTTACATCCTGGTACAGGAACTTATTCTACACTTGATCTGTGTCCCTTGCTGATTCAAATGTCTACAACGAATTTGAATGGTATGTTCATGATGACCTTTGCGGAAGTGACCACTTCCCAACTGTCCTAAAATCAATCAAACCAGATGATGACCCACCTTTATCACGATGGAATGTTAATAAGGCCAATTGGTCTTTGTATGGAACATTGTGTATGGAAAAATTAATGACGGAAAATTTTATAAATGTATCAGATCCGATAGAGTTGTTTTCAGCTCAGTTAAATGAAATTGCTGACCAGTTAATTCCTAAGTCCTCTTCAATTCCTCACATTCGTAAACCATGGTTCAACAATGAATGTAAACAAGCAAGAAAGTGTAGGAAGAAAGCAGAAAAATACTTCCGCAGACATCCTACAGTTCATAACTTAAATAATGTTAAAATTACTAATGCCAAGGCACGGCGAGCTTATAAACAAAACGAACGCCAGTCTTGGAGGAAATATGTTTCCAACATTAATTCGCGCACACCCATGTCTAAGGTGTGGAATATGGTCCAGCGAATAAAAGGCAAAGGCTCCAAGTCTTCTGTTAAACATCTTAAAGAAGGTGATAAATTGATAACTGGTAAGTGTGATATTGCCAATAAAATTGGTGAAACTCTTTCCAGAAATTCTTCATCATCAAATTATATCCCTGAATTTCAGAAATATAAAAATCGACAAGAAAAAAGAAGAATTAATTTTGACTCTAATAACGGTGAAAATTATAATGAAATATTTTCATTGCATGAGCTACGTACTGCTCTCGAGCAAGCTCATGATACTGCAACTGGTGAAGACAACATTCATTACCAGTTACTGAAACATTAGCCTGATTCATGTCTTTTGACACTTTTGGGAATATTTGACCATATTTGGATTTCAGGAACTTTTCCTCCTTCGTGGCACAATGCCATTGTAATCCCCATACCAAAACCTGGCAGGGATCATACAGATCCCTCAAATTACCGCCCTATATCGTTAACCAGTTGCGTTTGTAAAACCATGGAACGAATGGTAAACAATAGATTAGTCTGGTATTTGGAAACGAATAATCTTATCACAAATATTCAGTGTGGTTTCCGAAAAAACCGAAGTACTATTGATCATTTAGTGCGACTAGAATCCTATGTTAAGAATGCTCTTGTAAATAAACAACACGTAGTATCGATTTTCTTCGATCTGGAGAAAGCATATGATACTACTTGGAAGCACGGAATTTTGAAGGATTTACATCATTTCGGTTTGAGAGGTCGTTTACCTCTTTTTATATCACAGTTTTTAAGAGACAGGCAGTTTCAAGTCCGAGTGGGTTCAACCCTGTCTGATCATTATAATCAGGATCAGGGTGTCCCACAAGGCAGTATTTTGTCTGTCACTTTATTTAGTGTTAAAATAAATAGTCTTTCTAAAGTTTTAAATGATGCAGTTGATGGATCACTTTTCGTGGATGATTTTAATGTTTCTTGTTGTGGTAAAAATATGCATACAATAGAGAGGCAGTTACAATTATGTCTTAATAAAATTCATAAATGGTGTCTTGAAAACGGCTTTAAATTTTCTAAATTAAAAACTAATTGTCTACACTTCTGTAGAAAATATAAGCCTCATAAAGACCCAGAACTGTTTTTAAATGGCACTCCCATCAAGGTTGTAAAGAGGCCAAATTCTTGGGTCTGATTTGGGACTCCCATTTAACCTTTCTTCCGCATATTAAATCCCTAAAACTAAATGCCAGAAGGCACTCGATTATTGAAAGTCGTGTCTAATTCAAGGTAGGGAGGGATCAAGCTACGCTCCTCCACCTTACAGATCACTTGTCCGCTCGAAGCTTGATTATGGCTCAATCGTATATGGTGGAGCCTGTAAAAAGCAATTTAAACTCTTAGATTCAGTCCACCACCACGGCCTAAGACTTTGTCTTGGGTCCTTTAGAACCTCTCCCATTGATAGTCTATATGTTGAAGCAGATGAGCCTTCTCTTACACAACGCCGTATAAAATTATCTCTACAATACATTACTAAACTATATTCTAGCGAGTCTAACCCTGCATTTAACTGTGTCTTTAATACCCTCTATGAGGATGTATACAACAAAAAACCTTCTCTTGTTCCGCCTCTTGGGCACAGAATTAAGCCCTTTCTTTCTGCTGCCGGCATTGAGCTTGAAAATATAGCTCCTTCCCGTCTTCTTTCTTCTCCTCCTTGGCAACTGGTGAGGCCTGAAGTTGACCTAACTCTGACAAAGTTTAAGAAATCTGTAACTAATGAATTACAATATAAACAAGAATATAATCAATTAAAAACTAAATATAATACATACAAATCCTTATTTACTGATGGGTCTAAGGATAGTGGCGCAGTGGCATGTGCCACTGTCATTGGATCAAGAACAATATCTTCCAGAATACCGGATAACAGCTCTATTTTTACAGCAGAAGCAAACGCCATCTTAACAGCTCTTAAATATATTAACAAACACCGTAAATATAAACAATATATCATCTTTTCAGATTCTCTTTCGTGTCTTCAGGCTATTAAAAATCTTTCTTGCAAACATTCACTTTTATTAGAAATTATTGAATTGTACAATGAACTTGCTACTGGCCAATGCGACATCGTCTTTTGTTGTTTACCCAGCCACGTTGGCATTTCTGGGAACACAATGGCTGATATTGCTGCTAAGGCAGCACTCAACAAATCTGTGACACCACTTCTGATCCCATACTCTGATTACAAAGCTGCTATAAGATCTTATATCCGTGATCTGATGCAAAAGAGGTGGGACGCCCAAGTAGGTATCAATAAATTACATGCAATAAAACCCTACATTGGTAATACCTACTTGGGTTGTCAGTCCAGATTTGAGGAGGTCATTATGCGACGATGTCGCATTGGCCATACCAGATATACTCATGAATATTTATTGAAAGGCGACGATCCTCCGTTTTGTATCCCTTGTGATGAAAGGATCACAGTCAAGCATGTCTTGCTTGACTGCATTGAATATTCCATCACAAGGGATATCTATTTCACATCCAAAACACTGAAGGATCTTTTTAATAATGTCAGTTCTCATTTAATTCTTGCATTTTTAAAAAAATTAGATTTGTTGACTGATTTGTAAATAGGTATATATTTTATTATTGGTAGTTTAGATTAGCAACTTAGATTGTTAGTGGCTGTACCCTCAAAGGGGGTTGACGTAGCGTAAAATTATTGTCCTCCCGAGGGGGTACGTAAGTCCCAAAACTTTCAAAGTCAATTTAAGTGTACCTGCTTTTTAATCGTAGAATAAGTGTGTTTTTAATTTATGGCTAGATATCTCTTCTGTTAATGGCTGAAGGGATGGTGTAAATCCAACTAGGGTCCATGCAGGTAGCAAATGCACTGTAAGTCCCCATGGTCTCTAGTATGGTGATCTACCTTCAGTTGTTGGCGATTTATAGCCCATTTTTACATTGTATAGTCTTCTTTAATTGGAATGTTTTAGCTTTGTTCGCTAGTTTTATATTGATAGCTGTGATTATCTAGTATTTTTACTGTCCTTCGTCGGCAGGTTTTTTATAATATACATATATTTCATTCTAATATCGCATGTTCTCGTCACAATATGGCTGAAATATTGCCGATGTGACGTTAAATATTAACTCACTCACTCACTCCGCTAAAACAGTCTAGATCACAGTACTTTGTGGACCCTCTGACAAATGTAAATCTGCAGGCCTCTGTCTTTGTCATCGTCGTGGATCAACTGTGTCCTTGAAACTTTAACAGCAGTAACTCAGTGTATATGCCTCTCTCCTGGTTACGTATGATACGTTTGTATTATGTCATATGTTCAGTTGTTATCATATGTTTCTTTACTTTTGTTCTTTACTTTTCAGCTCCTCAGCATGGACATGACTAACGAGGCGAATGGGTATACATCACGACATCAGTTTAGGTTGCGGATAAAGAAACACGTTCATGACACTGCATTACTTTGCTTTGAGACAGAACGCCGTTGTTATCTTTCAGTTCATTCCCATTACTTTTTGCTTGCTGGATAATGATTCATATACATCCACTATTAAAAAAAACATCTACCTTGACCAGCAAGTGAAATGTTGGTTACGCTTATGTCATCTTTGTAAAATATTTAATATTGAATGCACAAATCCATGTTGGTGATTATGTCAAAACGAAACGGAACTAGAAACCTGACCTGCAAGTTATAAAATAACTCATGATTTAGGGGAGAATGAGTAGAGCAGGAATAACAAGAACTCAGGTTCTACAGCAGGTACAGTGATAGGCGTGGGCCAGAGGAATGGCGCTCTGGGTGTGTTTGTGAGACATCATTGAGCTATGGTCGTTGATACTTACCAAGAGCAGGAGACCATGGTGCCATGGTGTAGGCAGTCCAGTCATCAGACATCAACTCCAGTCAAAGCATGCGGACCGCCCTGCACTGTCGCCCTCTCACGAATCTTTTGATACTAACCACAAAAAAGGCCGACGTAGGTATTTAGCATTCATCATCGTATACGACCTTGAACATCGTAAATGAGAGTAGCGCCCCTTGGTCCAAGTGGATCGTGGTCAAGCACGCTAATTAACCTATGCAATCAAGTGTTGTGAGTCGTTTTGTGCTCCGAAATTGAAGAGGCTGTGCAGCTGATTTATTGCAGATAAACCATCTGTTAAATCGTACGACATCGCACAGCTACACATGACTCGATGAGCCCATTGTTGGCTCCCCCACCTACATGTACACTGTAGAGTGTGAATAGATTAGATTAGATTTTGTGTTGAATGCCTATAGCTTGATAATATATGTGTATATTAATACTACTGTAAAAATAGTATAATACTAGTGTTCTTATAGTTGCTTCCATTTGAAAGAAAGATTCGTACTTCATTGCCAAGTTTCACCTTGAGATCTCATTCTTTGGTTGAATGATCAATTTCTAATGATATATCTATGCACCCCCCAAGTGCCAGCAGCGTCCTTTATACAGCTGAATATCAATAATATGCAATCTCTAAGTGAGTAATACAGACAATACTACACTCGTCCTTGTTAGATATCAGTTTTATTTCAGCGCGTGTATATAATTGAAATATTCTCGTCAATAAAATAATATCAACCGGAAACTCGTTTAGTAGTAATCGTTATTACACACGATCCACCACGACGATAATAAGACTGTACATTTCAAGTGTATAGGCCATATGGTGGAGAATGTCTTGAGTGAGACCAGTAAATGATGTACCCGTTGTGTCCATTTTTGACGTTTGGCACAATTAAATAAACAATATGCTTGAAGCATTAATTTGACAATTTACTCAAAACAAATAAGTAGTACTTTGCATATTTATTTTTCCCTTCACCTCGGGTTTTATGTGATCATTTTCAAAACTCGTTTTCGTTAACAAACCATACACGTTTGTGTTTTCAGGTTTTGCCGTGAGCTGTTTTACCCTTCTGTATCATATAGATAAGTATCCAGATCGTCTCTAAGGTTATTATGATTCACTTGCAAACTGAAGTGTGTTGTTTTGTGTTCGTTTCTAATGATAAACCTTGAGTGCAAACGCCTTCCTGCTTACTCACAATGGAGGAGATGAGACACATTTATATAGTATCATGTCTAGTTTTCATCGTTGTACCAGAATATGCGTGAGTAAAAGTTATTCAGCTCGCATCGTGTCATTCGGGTTAACAGTTACAAACTCGAGTTTACATTTCACGATTGTATTTACGCTATGGTGTAACACTGATCTAATACATGGACATCTGCATTATACGCCCTATCAACAATGGCAGATAGTTTACATTTCACGGTTGTATTTACACTATGTTGTAACACTGATCTAATATATGTACATCTGCATTATACGCCCTATCAACAATGACAGATAGTTTACATTTCACGATTGTATTTACGCTATGGTGTAACACTGATCTAATACATGGACATCTGCATTATACGCCCTATCAACAATGACAGATAGTTTACATTTCACGGTTGTATTTACGCTATGGTGTAACACTGATCTAATACATGTACATCTGCATTATACGCCCTATCAACAATGACAGATAGTTTACATTTCACGGTTGTATTTACGCTATGGTGTAACACTGATCTAATACATGGACAGCTGCATTATACGCCCTATCAACAATGACAGATAGTTTACATTTCACGGTTGTATTTACGCTATGGTGTAACACTGATCTAATACATGGACATCTGCATTATACGCCCTATCAACAATGACAGATAGTTTACATTTCACGGTTGTATTTACGCTATGGTGTAACACTGATCTAATACATGGACATCTGCATTATACGCCCTATCAACAATGACAGATAGTTTACATTTCACGGTTGTATTTACGCTATGGTGTAACACTGATCTAATACATGGACATCTGCATTATACGCCCTATCAACAATGACATATAGTTTACATTTCACGGTTGTATTTACGCTCTGGTGTAACACTGATCTAATACATGTACATCTGCATTATACGCCCTATCAACAATGACAGATAGTTTACATTTCACGATTGTATTTACGCTATGGTGTAACACTTACATTTCACGATTGTATTTACGCTATGGTGTAACACTGATCTAATACATGGACATCTGCATTATACGCCCTATAAACAATGACATATAGTTTACCCCGTATAAGGATACCCTATGAGCGTGCACTCATAACATACACAGTTCACTGATAACATCAATATCCGAACAAACACAATAATAGGTAAAAACGAAACACTGTCAGATGCAGTTTAGCGAACTTAACCGAACGTAACCGAATATAACAGTGAGCTGTTTTACACTTTTGGAGGAACATGAATATATATCCAGATAAATTGATCAAACCGTTCCCTCGTCTCTATGGCTATCGAGATTCACTCGCCCTATCACGTGTGTTTTGTGTCCGTTTCAAATAGTCGTGTTTGTTGTATAGGCTGACCAAATAAGTTTACTTCGCAGTCAACAGAAACATCTACTTTCCTCATAACCATAATGCAGAAAACATTTCTCTATTAGCTTGATCTGCGATTTGTTTAATTGCTTTTCCAACTAAATAATACTCATAAATTAATACATTCCTTAACAATTACGCAAACAGAATAAAATTATAATGTTTCTGGACACGTCCCTTAGAAAGTGTTAACATCTTGGAATTTCGTATGTTCCCATATGTTACTATAAAGTGCGAACATATCTGAGGTGTTTTGTAGATGTTCTGCAGTTTCTGCAAAGAGGACAGTGTCGTCAGCGTACAGACGTAGCAGGGGTTTTACAGATATAGTATCACGTGTTTGGCAATAAGTACATTTTACACAAAACCAAATGTTTTCCCATAGACTTCTATAGTAACGTTAAAATTTTTTGAGAAAATCATCCAGGCTGTCAACAGCCATTCCATGTACACATGGGTACAGCCTGGCATTTAACTACAATAAAAACAAAAATTTCGGCTAGCTTATCCTGTCGATTTTCCCACCACAGGTAGCTGAACACATCAACCCCAGCTCCGCACCAAATGTCACCTACTGGAAAATACCTGACACACATTAAGCATAAGTCATGGTGATAAAAATGGCTGCACTAAATACTTAAACTTGTGATCAGTTTTAATTACTGGAAAGATGTGCTTTTTGAAAAAAATACAACGCTTACACTATTTCATCCAATCAGAGCTGACACATGTCTCTATCTGGTCAGAAGTTTACACACGACACTTGCTCAGCGAGCAAGTGATTCTGATTTAGTGTAGTAGAATCTACATTGACACTGTATATACCCTATACCTGGTTGTCACGTACAAACTCTTCCAGGTCGTTGATGTACAGTGCAAATAAAAACGGATTTTCAATTTTCAACCTGAAAGCTGATAGGCACTGGAACTCCTTTGCTGACTATGAACATGTACAGGGTACTGTTCTCTAATAATGCTAATTAAAACCTTTTAGATAATTTGACGAAACGTTTGCCAGAGATATTAAACGCGTGATTAGAGGCTATTTGGTGGGATGCACTTCTCGAGGGTAAGTCGGCGATATGTATGAATATATTTTATGACTCAAAACGAATGACGGTTCCTTCGTTAGGAAAACAGCGAGTGTCATGCATGAAGTCAGGCTGGGGTTACAATGAACACTCTATTCGACAACGATGTTAGTGTATTTTTAGTCAAAGGTAAAGGAGACACTTGATGTGAGGTCGACGGCTGAAGGGATAACATCCCTGTACACATCTCTCTAGGCAACAGCAACAAGAACACAGGGTAAACCTGGTCTCATTGTACAGAATGTATCATATAACAGTCCATCGCCAAATGTGTGATCTGAAACCATCTGAAGATTTGAGGTCGACGGCTGAAGGGATAACACCCCTGTACACATCTCTCCAGGCAACAGCAACAAGAACACAGGGTAAACCTGGTCTCATTGTACAGAATGTATCATATAACATTCCATCGCCAAATGACCTGGTCTCATTGTACAGAATGTATCATAGAACATTCCATCGCCAAATGTGTGATCTGAAACCATCTGAAGATTTGAGGTCGACGGCTAAAGGATAACACCCCTGTACACATCTCTCCAGGCAACAGCAACAAGAACACAGAGTAAACCGGGTCTCATTGCGCAGAATGTATCATAGAACAGTCCATCGCCAAATGTGTGATCTGAAACCATCTGAAGATTTGACATTTTATCTACCAATACCCATCAAGGGACACAAAATATGGTCTTGTTTGTGAACGTGTCATCTGTTGTGTATCTTGAATTTGTCCACTTTTTCAAGATGGACACAAGTGTAGCAGTTTTGTTGTTCTGCTGTTTTACACATGTTTCGATTATCGTGTATATCGTATAATCATCGTTAGTTCAAATTACCATCGAAGACAATAATTTCTATCACAAGGCCAGAAAGAGTGTTATCCGTTAAATGTCTATATTGCATTTTACACGTACAGAAGCATGGCAAATATCAGAAACGATTTCTACAAGGTGATTTATTTAGTCGGACAGCTGATTATGGTTCAAATGTGAAATCATAATATGACAGATTTCAAGTGTGCTTACATCTCTAAGTACTATGTTTTAAATGGGAATTACTAGTGATCCCCATGTGAAGTCACAATGAATCATGTAATCCATATAGCGCTACCTATTCCCTCAAACTGCTGTGTTAGGTGACGCATAATATACGAGTAAAGTCGGCGTAGTCGTAAATATCTTGTCAACATAAGGCTTCATGCGGGCCACACAGTTACCTGTTCCTTTGTCAGGCTGGCATACTGAAGTGACTCGGGTATATTTACCAACCAGGAAGTAAACGTAACATAACATGGTCTGACCTCACAACACAGGTAGAGGAAAGATATCATCCACGAGCCCAGATACAAAGGTGAGACAATATACTGACTCATGATTCAAACAGAAAACTTTCCTGATAATTTACCTATTCTTCAACAATATCTGGACTATTTTATACAACTACTCTATGCCTGTTTACATATATCTGCATGGGTAACTAGCTTCCAACTGTCATCTGCTGACATCGATATTCAGCATGCTAAACTGAACCGATAAGTTAACAACCAATACGTGTGATCTGCCACATAAGTCAAAACCTCCTTTGGTAGATCAGTCAGGACAGACTCCAACAAATAGGTCGATATAGTACGAGTTATGGTAACACATAATATACCCCATGCAAGGCCCTACGACACCTGCTCTGTCACATCTATATATTGTTTTGTGAAGTTTAGCTTGGTGATCAGGTTCACCTGGTCACACATTGAAATGTTTGGTTTTCGGAGGCCTGGTTAAATCACAATATAGCCTGTACATGGAACATGTGCATAGATTCTCATGAAGTGATGAGGTGAAAATATCGAGAAATAAGAGGATCTGTCGAAAGGAACCTATTAGTGTTGTTTACACAAAGATAAATATGTCAGTATTCCTTTTCGAAAAAGTCAGTCTCATCGTCTCATTATGACCAGTTACTCGTAAACGGTAATCAGTTCAGTGATATATGACATATTGCATATCAATTAGAGAGATAATTTTTAAGATGGGCGCCAGACTGAAACATTCTCCTGAATGAACTATACAGCCTATATTGGGTTCGAGTGTTGGGTTAACGTCGCTATAAACAGTATTCCAGTTTAATCAGGTCAAGTAAACTCAGAGTGGTAGTAAACGTTGGGGTTGTGTAAATGTCAGGTATGCAGCACTTCAAACCCACGAGTACAGGCATGGTTGTGGGAAGCCGAGAAACCACAATCAGAGGGCGCAGAGTCGCTCTCAGTAGTCACCGGGCAACGAGACCGTATCAACACTTACAGAACATTATCATAATTCATTACTGGACACACTACATGTCTCATATCTTTCATGGTGACGTTTTTTAAATGTCGCAGACCACAACTGAATATGAGAATGGGTATGCATATTGTTAGTTTACCTTTTCAGAACACTGCTGTCAATGGCGTCCCTTTGGGTTATAGCAACATCTGTGTTTGCAGTTGTCCTGTTGAAAGGTAAATAAGGATTTAGATTAAAGATATTTTATGAGTATTAGCAAACAAAATCTATTTCTTAATTAAATACTTACTTTGCATCTACTACTCAACATGTATCATTTTCACAGACGTACATAGTACGTGCTAGTATCGAGGGCAGGCCCAACGTAAAGGGTGATGGAACATATTGATATTGATGGCATGGTTTTCGGGGTTTAATAAAGAAGTGTAGAATATACAGATTTGCCTAGACTGTGATCCCTGATTTATCACATGTGCCCGTCAGAGACCTGTCACCTATTCCTTGTCAGATGTTGGGGCAGCAGTGACTGTATCAGGGTCAGGAGGTACAGGGATACCCAACCAGCAGGCTCTGACACTGAGATGCAGCTACACTGTGACACCTGGTGATATTGTTGCTTATTTCCAGGTGTTGGGGCAGCAGTGAGTGTATCAGGGTCAGGCGGTACAGGGATACCCAACCAGCAGGCTCTGACACTGAGATGCAGCTACACTGTGACACCGGGTGATATTGTTACTTATTTCCAGGTGTTGGGGGAGCAGTGACTGTATCAGGGTCAGGAGGTACAGATATACCCAACTAGCAGGCTCTGACACTGAGATGCAGCTACACTGTGACACCTGGTGATATTGTTACTTATTTCCAGGTGTTGAGGGAGCAGTGAGTGTATCAGGGTCAGGAGGTACAGGGATACCCAACCAGCAGACTCTGACACTGAGATGCAGCTACACTGTGACACCTGGTGATATTGTTACTTATTTCCAGGTGTTGGGGCAGCAGTGACTGTATCAGGGTCAGGAGGTACAGGGATACACAACCAGCAGACTCTGACACTGAGATGCAGCTACACTGTGACACCTGGTGATATTGTTACTTATTTCCAGGTGTTGGGGCAGCAGTGAGTGTATCAGGGTCAGGAGGTACAGGGATACCCAACCAGCAGGCTCTGACACTGGGATGCAGCTACACTGTGACACCGGGTGATATTGTTACTTATTTCCAGATGTTGAGGGAGCAGTGACTGTATCAGGGTCAGGAGGTACAGGGATACCCAACCAGCAGGCTCTGACACTGAGATGCAGCTACACTGTGACACCTGGGGAAGTTGTTACTGAGTACACATGGAGGAGGGTGGAGCGCAGCTCTACAGTGAACATAGTCAGTGGATCAGTGACTGCTCAGACAGCTCGATTCTTTGACTCCTGGGAGAACAAGGGCGTGTTTGTTGGCGACTACACCTCCTCCCTCGACATCCAACTACCTGCCAGTCACGTGACCTCCAGCTATGCCGGGACATACAGGTGTGAAGTGACTTCACTGTCAGGGTCTGATTATGCTGATGTCACTGTCTCTGTGTTGAGTAAGTATGCATGCATCCCAAAAGCATTAATTATCAAATGATTGCCTGTTTCATCAATATAACATTTTTATTAAATATGTGACACAATCGTATGTTTGATCCGTAAACTTGACAAAGTTCATTGCACTGTGTGTATTGATAAAAAAGATAAAAAATACCTAACTGAACGCGAACGATTGTAATATATTGATTACGAAATATACGTTCCAGTGTGGCATATACTGATACGTTCAAGTGTGGTACTCTAAGAAATAAACACATATATTCTACACATTTTCAGATAGTATTATGGTATCACTATGTGATAATGATTCATAAACAGATGCTCATGATATCATCGGATTCGTACAATCCAGTCTTCTTTGGGCAGAAATGTATGATGGATTAGGATACCTTTATTCATTACCTACCTTTGTTTTCCTGATAATATGATCCAATGATAAGCTCCATAAAATAACAGATTCATTATATATACCAACTGAGTGCAGATGATAAAACACAGATATGTAATTTAATATGATACATGTACGGATTACAGAACCCATGCGCAGAATTCGTGCGTCTTCACTTCAGAAAGTATTATACACATGGTGATTCGGTCAAATTACTCCCTATAGATACATTTCTGAATTATAGATATCATCCCTGAAGAATCCACCCGCATTGCTTCAGTATCACTTTATGACGTATAAACTATACCTCACACAACACCTTTCGTGCATCCAGGCATATTTTTAAGAAGCAATTTGAAATGAAACTACACATACATTGTCTCATATTTCAAAAGATGAATATTTATCATAAGGCATTGTCCTGTGTTTTCATTAACATTTTTATGCAAAAACATAATTCTTCAACATTAAATGCAATGTACGCTTGTGAACTAGACGTGATTTAAGCATACAGCATACGGAATGTATGTATGTATGCATCAACATCTGACCTCCCTTCCACCTGCACAGTGGTGGAGTCAACCCGTTCCTTGATATACATTAGTACCTATACCAGGTTGGAAGGTAATCCTGCGCTGTCATCAACAGTCGGGGTTCAGACTCAGCCTCAGTTAGTGCACAAAAGTATTTCACAACATGTCACTGACTACTCACTTCAGTCTCTCCATCTATATCACTCACTCTAGTATAGCAACTAAATTTGTATATACACAGGTTAACAATCGTCAACTGAATTTAGCAAATTGATTTGTAATCTTTAGATCCACCGTCTATATCTGGACTACCATCGACACAGACTGTCACAGAGTTCTCTGACCTCAGGATAGACTGTAGCACCTACACCACACCTGGCAACCCTCCAACAACAACATGGTCTCTAGTATGGTGATCTACCTTCAGCTGTTGGCGATATATAGCCTATTTTTATATTGTGTTGTCACCTATAGTTCAAATATTTTAGATTTAATTACTAGTTTTACATGTCTAACTGTGATATTCTAGTTGTTTTACTGTCCTTCGTCGGCAGGTTTTTATGATATAGATATATTTTGTTTCAATATCAAATGTTCTCGTCACGATATGGCTGAAATATTGCCGATGTGACGTTAAATCTTAACTCACTCACTCACTCCAACAACAAGCCACACATGGACCTATGGTGGTTCTACTGTCAGTACTGGGGCTATACTTGACAGAAGGAACATCAGCAGGAGTCAGGGAGGAGTCTACACCTGTACTGCCAGCAACAGCCAGGGATCAGATTCAGACTCAATCAATGTGAATGTGCAATGTAAGTAGCCAGTCTTCAGACAATTCTTAAGAGTATTCATTCTCTACCTTAAAACATAGACTATAGTCATATGGCAAGAAATACGATTAAGCCATGGTCTCGGTTGGCTAAAACAGATACTAATTGGGAAATAGTAGATGATTACACTGCTGTAATTGTTGGCGTATATGTGTTGTTTTGAATCCAGCCACATTATTATATATTATAGCTAAAATGGCTAGAATTATCATTGAAACGCAAACATGTTATGAGAAATGAGCGGGCCACTGTAACTTGATAATGTCCCAAAATTGCTTGACGACAGGCCATTATCATGCCCATTGTTAGGTGACGTCATAGGGAGCTCATCTCTTGATGTTCAATCACCTACGGCTCGTTTGAACTTGGGTTCAATAGTGACGATATGTCAGACTCACATTCGTCCAATGTACCTGTGCTATTAAGCAATTTCTTGTCGGTGCCAACGTAACAATTGTACTATAATTACAACATGCAACATTGTAAGCATAGACTGGTAGTATGGGAAAAGGTCAAGGTCGAATGTCGTCACGCTCAATAGTGACGTCATCTGTTTTGTTCTCTGACGTTTCCATATCTGAAAAAGTGGGTAAGTGGCCTCCGTCATTTGTTGTTAGCAGTAGATGCTTCAAACCCGATATCGTTTGTTGTTATTATTATATTAAAACTTCTATCCATTTTAGCTATAATAACAGTAACGCTATTTTTCAGCATTACACCTATATTCCAGACAGCCCCTACCAGATCTACCTGACCCCCTCCACCTCCTCCTACACTGTGACAGAACATCAGGCTCTTCCTTCAATCAGGTGTTCCGCCCTCTGTAGACCCGGATGTAGCTACAGGTGGTTACACAATGGAACAGTCTTCAGCAGTGGATCCGTGCTCCAGGGACAAGCTGACAGATCCAAGACAGGCTCCTACAGATGTCAGCCTTATAATACACACGGGAGTAGTGACAGTGTTCCAGTTAATGTTGATGTTCAGTGTAAGTATATAGTCTACACTGGTGACAGTGTTACAGTTAGTGTTGATGTTCAGTGTAAGTATATAGTCTACACTGGTGACAGTGTTACAGTCAGTGTTGATGTTCAGTGTAAGTATATAGTCTACACTGGTGACAGTGTTACAGTCAGTGTTCATGTTCAGTGTAAGTATATAGTCTACACTGGTGACAGTGTTACAGTCAGTGTTGATGTTAGGTGTAAGTATATAGCCTACGATGGTGACAGTGTTACAGTTGGTGTTGATGTTCAGTGTAAGTATATAGTCTACACTGGTGACAGTGTTACATTCAGTGTTGATGTTCAGTGTAAGTATCTAGTCTACACTGGTGACAGTGTTACAGTCAGTGTGGATGTTAGGTGTAAGTATATAGTCTACACTGGTGACAGTGTTACAGTTGGTGTTGATGTTCAGTGTAAGTATGTAGTCTACACTGGTGACAGTGGTACAGTCAGTGTTGATGTTCAGTGTAAGTATATAGTCTACACTGGTGACATTGTTACAGTCAGTGTTGATGTTCAGTGTAAGTATATAGTCTACACTGGTGACAGTGTTACAGTTAGTGTTGATGTTCAGTGTAAGTATATAGTCTACACCGGTGACATTGTTACAGTCAGTGTTGATGTTCAATGTACGTATATAGTCTACACCGGTGACAGTGTTACAGTTAGTGTTGATGTTCAGTGTAAATATATAGCCTACACTGGTGACAGTGTTACAGTTAGTGTTGATGTTCAGTTTAAGTATATAGTCTACACTGGTGACAGTGTTACCATCAGTGTTGATGTTCAGTGTAAGTATATAGTCTACACTGGTGACAGAGTTACAGATAGTGTTGATGTTCAGTGTAAGTATATAGTCTACACTGGTGACAGTGTTACAGTCAGTGTAAGTATATAGTCTACACTGGTGACAGTGTTACAGTCAGTGTAAGTATATAGTCTACACTGTTGACAGTGTTACAGTCAGTGTAAGTATATAGTCTACACTGGTGACAGTGTAACAGTTAGTGCTGATGTTCAGTGTAAGTATATAATCTACGCTGGTGACAGTGTTACAGTCGGTGTTGATGTTGAGTGTAAGTATATAGTCTACACTGGTGACAGTGTTACAGTCAGTGCTGATGTTAGGTGTAAGTATATAGCCTACACTGATGACAGTGTTACCGTTAGTGTTGATGTTCAGTGTAAGTATATAGTCTACACTGGTGACAGTGTTACAGTCAGTGTTGATGTTAGGTGTAAGTATATAGCCTACACTGGTGACAGTGTTACAGTTAGTGTTGATGTTCAGTGTAAGTATATAGTCTACACTGGTGACAGTGTTACAGTCAGTGTTGATGTTCAGTGTAAGTATATAGTCTACACTGGTGACAGTGTTACAGTCAGTGTTGATGTTCAGTGTAAGTATATAGTCTACACTGGTGACAGTATTACAGTTAGTGTTGATGTTCAGTGTAAGTAAATAGCCTACACTGGTGACAGTGTTACAGTTAGTGTTGATGTTCAGTGTAAGTATATAGCCTACACTGGTGACAGTATTACAGTAAGTGTGGATGTTCAGTGTAAGTATCATTGTTAGAATACTGGACACATGTGTGTACAGCTACCAACACCCTCAGTCCTTGTGTGGGGACATCTGTAGTGAGATGTGACACTGTGGAGGTGACAGTGGATGTACAGTGTAAGTATCATTGTTAGAATACTGGACATATGTATGTACAGCTACCAACACCCTCAGTCCTTGTGTGTGGACATCTGAAGTGAGATCTGACACTTTGAAGGTGACAGTGGATGTACAGTGTAAGCATCATTGTTAGAATACTGGACATATGTGTGTACAGCTACCAAGACAGTCAGGCCTTGTGTGGGGACATCTGAAGTGAGATCTGACTCTGTTGAGGTGACAGTGGATGTACAGTGTAAGTATCATTGTTAGAATACTGGACATATGTGTGTACAGCTACCAACACCCTCAGTCCTTGTGTGGGGACATCTATGTAGTGAGATCTGACTCTGTGGAGGTGACAGTGGATGTACAATGTAAGTATCATTGTTAGAATACTGGACATATGTGTGTACAGCTACCAACACCCTCAGGCCTTGTGTGGGGACATCTGTAGTGGGGTCTGACTCTGTTGAGGTGAGTGTGGATGTACAGTGTAAGTATCATTGTTAGAATACTGGACATATGTGTGTGCATCTACCAACACCCTCAGTCCTTGTGTGGGGACA